TCCGGTATGTAGATTTCCACCACGGATGAGAGGTCTTCATAGTTCGTGAGCGATGAGTCGTACGTTGTAAGCGCAGTGTTGTGGACGTCGGTATCGCTTGTGATAAGCTGTAGTGAAAGTAGAGCTATACTCTGGAGAGAGGTGTAAACTGTTTAGTATTTGCGTAGGATGCGCCAATCTGCTCTACTTCTTCTGAGGCGCATGTACTGGTGCAGAGTTTGTCACAGTGATGGATGTTAGTGTCCTGTATGATACTCTATATATGGTTGAGTACACACCACGCTGAGTAACTTTGTGTAGTGTGGCTGTGTTTTTTTAGTTGTGACTCACTCTGAGTGACTCGAGGTCTGTGACGCGTCGCAAGAATACTTTGTTTGAGGTTTTTAGATTTATTATACGATATGTTTATATATACATCACGATCCAGTCAGTTTCGCGCTGCGGGCGTAGCGATTCTTATAGTTGTCACATGTATATACTGCGCCATAGGATGTGGTCGTTATATGTGAGAGAGAGTAGCTGTTATGGTGGCTTCGCCGTGCTGGACACTGAATAAGAGGTGAGTATTTGGGAGGAGCGAGTGGGCCTTGACCTCAGGCGGTGGGTTGCTTTCGTTGGCAGTGCCGTTTGCTTAAACATCCAGGCATGTTAGCATGTTGAGTGTTAGCATTTAGGAGAGGTATTTCTGTGTCTAGGTAATAGCCTCACAGAGCTTGCTAGCATAGCTAAGACTTACTGGCCTGAAAGAGAGAAAATCCTAAATAATCCAAATTTAGGTACTGAATGGGGGGGACTGAAATTTGTTACCTCTTTCTTTTTTCTTTCTTAATTCCAAAGACCTCTGCTCATACATAGATACATCTCAAACTATATTTGGTCGAGACTCAACTTGTGTATTCCGCACTTAAGATAAAAGGTAATGAATTTAAGTTTGTAACAGATTTTTGCGTCTTTGTTTCCACCAACACAAGTATCTCTATTCCAACAGACCTACTTCCTTATTCTTGCTCTCAATGACCTAAAAGGCTCTCTGTACATGCCATGCAAATATTTTTCTAACTGCTCATCATTTGTGTATAGACAGAACAGCAGTCCAGACAACCTTACCTCATAAACTACTGGAGCCATTGGACCTGGGGCCAGGATAGCCGGCTGTCAGTGAAGCGTCAGCTGGGAGCGATCGGGCACCTGGTGAACAGAGAAGGAGAGACCAGTGGAGAGTAAGGAGTTTGGACTTTATTGTGTCGGTCAAGTTGATAATGGCTACTGTATAGAAGTAGCGTAATATATGATAGCGATACATAGGAACAACAATGTTGTCAAATATTGTCATTTAAAGCTTGTGTAGTGTTTGTGTTTTTTGGTAGTTTGCACTAAATCGCGTCTGTACTTGTTCGACCGTTCCGCCAAGTAGTCCTGCGTTCACTTGAACGGCCTGTTGTGCTGTCCCACTTGACTCATGGCCAGACACGTCTGGCTCTGTGTCCTCACTCCTGGTATGGTTCATACCTCAACAGACTATACACATGTGCTTATGGAGGTTGTTGTTGTTACTCTGTATGGCATGGTGGTCGTATTGCAATAGACGAAACAGACCCACTGATACGCTCGGTGTGTTATATGTTCTCTGTGATTGGGCCTGAGCGTCACGATTGTATGAGTGATGTGTTGAGCTAATAGGGAACTATATAGATGTATTCCATCTTGGTAATATTGTGGGAGACTTGATGCTGGTCTAACAAGCGCTTCCGAGCGTTTCATCCTCGCGGATTAAGGTTGGTTTCTGCGGGGGATTGGTGGGAGAGATTATAGACAAGTTCAGTACAGTCTTGTATATAGTGAAGTGGCACACTCACTAACATTGTTGAGGAGTTGTGCGGTGGGGTCGATGTTAGGAATGCCATTGTTCGGGTCGACATGGCCCGTAGTTATGTAAACCAAGACATTTATAAACTGTTTGCCCGAGGGCTATTAGTCAGTGTTTTGATTTTTAAGTACTAAGTAACTAATGTCAGGGAATAAAATTATAAATTAATCTTAAAAAGCCATTAGTGCTAATAAATTATTGAACAGCAACTGTGACTTGCAGTCTTTTTCAAAAGTCTGTTTCTTCTACTCTTTCAGTTCGCAACATTTACCAATTTTTAAGAAAAGAACCAGTGAGATTCAACATTTCTGCTTCGTGTCATCTCCAATGAAGAGGATACTGTCCGCCCATTCCTTCCCATTAATATTTTCCAGGACTTTCTAACCCTCGGACAAAGGTTACTAAACCATGACGTCTGTGATTCCCGGCATGCTGTATGAGCTTGATATAATGAGGGCCTTACGTTTTTCCTCTTCCCTGCGTTTGTAAGCAGAAGATGATTCCATGTGAGAATACCAGCGAGCAAAACTTCAAAAGAACACGACCAACAGCGATCAGCACCAGTCCAGGTGCAGGAGGCTTGGGAACTGTTGCAGAAGGAAAAAACTGAATTAACGCTAAAGTCAAAGTAAGTCAAAGGTAAACCGGTGCAAATCAAAAATACTTGGACACATCTAAAATGAGGAG